GCTCACCTGGCTCTGAAGTAAACCCAGCCCGCCCTGACTGTGAACTAACTCATCTGGGGCCTGCAGTGCAGAGAGCACCTGAAACCAGCCTGGCTGGACCAGAGAAAGCGGAGGGAGGGGCCTGGGGGACAGCGAAGGGAGCCAGGCCCCTGCAGCAGGGCAGAGGAAGAGACGGGAGCTGAGACCCTGCCTGAGGAAATAGAGATGGAAAGTCTCTCCAGTTTAGCAAACGGCACAATGGGCAGCCTCAAGACGCTGAGTGCCTATGCCCGAAGTGCTGTGCCCTAGACCTATTGGGTTATGCAAGGCTCACAAAGCAGGCCCCCTCGGACCAACACCCCCGCCAGAGCAGTAGACAAGGAGCCAAAGCTTCCAGGGTCCCCTGGCGCTGAGCCAAGCTGGCACCCAAGCAGACCCAGACCCCTGAGCACAACTTCAACTCCTCCTCCTCCTGTCACAGGGCAACACACCCCAATCGGGCTTCCCCTGGTAGAGGCAGGCTCCTGCCGCTCTGCAGTGAGTCCCAGGGGACACCTGCCGGTTCTTATTGTCAGACAAACATCGCACTCATTTGCTGTGCAAGCCCTCAGCACTAGAAGCAGCTTCGCCACCTGGCGAACAATGCCTGCCCAAACCAGCAGGCCCACTAGCCTGCTAGGGCACCTGGGCTTCCCCTGGGGGCCCTCCCTGACCGCCACTGCAGGGCAGACTGGTTCCCCCCACTCAGCCTTCAAGGCCTAAGGCAAGGAAGAGGTGGGGGGGGGAGGGCACTGTGTTTGGAGAGCTGAAAATCTCTCAGGGAATCGAGTCGCTGCAAGCTCCCTACACTGCATTTGATGTCAAGGAGCCCTGAGGGCTCCCTGCCTGACGCTCAGTGCCACTAGGGATCCTTTCCACAATGAAATGCTTAATTACACATCTAAGTACGGGGACATTGTTCTGGTCAGCAGACAATGCTCGCACAATGCAAACACACTGAGCCTCTCTACTGAAGTGGAGAGAGAAATCAGATGTGGATAGGGACACTCGACGTGGTGAACACGTGACCCTGGATTTAACACTACACCCGTCACAATGCCAGAAGGCAAGTTAACTATCGCAAAGGCAGGCAGGAGTCACTGGCTGACGTGGAGCCTGCTCCTTCCTCGGCCAGTCACACAGGCCGGTCCCTTACGTGATAGGGAGGGGGTGATTGCAAAGGGGCTGGGGCTGGGGCGACATTCTTGGGTGACGGAGTTCTTCCGGATATGACTGTGGTGGTGGCCCCAAGGATCTCTGCCACACAGGGAGAAGAAGGCCCACTCAGTTGTGGGCTGGGCACCCACTAGGGATGAGAGGCTGGACTGGACGTTCCTCTCTGTCCCACCCCCGCTGCCCAGCCATCTGACACCCTCCCCCCGCCCCCAGGCTCTGGATGCCCTTTCTCTGGCTCTCTCTGGCCACCTGACTCTCATCTGTCCCCTCGCCAGCTTGCCCTCCCCCTCTTCTCCCCACTGGAGGAGGCCAGAGGGCAAAGTCCATGGGAGGCAGCCAGGCAGGGCTGCCATGGCCAGAACAGGACAGAACCAGTGGGGCCCAGGTCAAAGGAGGATGGGGCTGGGGAACATGGGCGCTGAATGCTTGGGGGCACAGGGAGTCCTCCCCACCCTGTCACCAGAACAGCCCCCTGCTGAGCCTGAGTCTGGCCACAAAGATCCCCTGCCGCCTCCCACCCTAGCCGCCCCTATCTGTTTTGTGTTTCTCTCCCCTCCTCTACCTCCACCTGAGGCCACACCTGATGGCCCCCGGCGTGGCACTGCAGGAGTTAAGGCCAGCAGAGGACACTGGGTAGTGCCAGTGGGAGGACCAGGTGGCCAGTGCCACTTCTGCACACTGCGCTTTCTGTCCTGTCCCCACCCGCCGAGGACCCAAGTCCAGGTGGGTGGTAACTGGGGCGAGGCAGGCCGAGGACAGATGCCTCAGGACAACACACAGCCCAGCCAGAACTTCCTCCTCGCAGCGTTGTTGTTGGCAGCGGCGGCAGCCGATGCCAGCCCAGGTTAGGGGGATGTTCTTGTCCCAAGGGTGTCTTATCCCCAGGGGACTGGCCTGTCCCTACCTCGAGGGGGCTGGCTGGTCCTGGTAGCAGGCTGCTCTCATCCTTACACCTGCCCAGGGACTCAGGCTGGGGTCTGGTCTGCCGTTGCCCCATGGGGTGGTGGGAGCTGTGTCTCCACGTGGTCCTGCAACTGCAGGAGGGCCACTGGCCCGGAACACAGCCTGCTGTGGTGGCGGCTGCACTTCCCCTCTGCTCTGAGGTCTCCGTGTCCCCTGAGAGTGGGACGCCAACCCCACAGGGCAGCCTCCAGGACCACGAGCCAGCCCCACCCCAAAGTGCATCTGGGGTTGGGGTACACCCTGTCCAAAGCTGGGGTGACACCTGTGGTGGTGTCAGCACCCTTGAAGGACCTTCAGTGACACACCCGTGTCTAGTTTCTGGGTGAGTTCTGGGCAGTGGCACCTGAAGAGGGAGCAGGAAGGGCAGCACTGGGGAAGAGTCACCCTTCTCGGCGCCTCTAGGGGCTTAGGGTGAAAATATGGCGCCCCACTTCCCCAGGCTGCTGCAGCCCCACACGGGCCAGAGCACAGAGCACAGAAGCCCCTGAGCCTGCTGCCGGCTGCCTTCCAGGCTGCCTTGGCCAGCTGCAGAGCACCCATCGCAGGCCAGCAACACCGGTCCAGGATCAGATTAGAGGAATCCAAGGTTTTAGTTTCCAAACAGAAAGCAGGTTTCTTTGATGAGAATCTCCTGCATGAAGGGCCCTTGACTGAGCTGACCTGTCCACGGGACCCCAGCAGACGTTGATCGTTGGCTTATGCAGACGGATACCAAGGAGAAACTAGACCCTGGCAGTCATGAGGGGTCATCTGTAATCCTCCCAGGTCAGCTTGGCCTTGGGCACCACGGAGGCCAGGGGTCCAGGCCAGCTCCACCTGAGCTCAGAGCCAGGAGTCCCCGAGAGCTGAGAAATCCCAGCTCCTCTTCCTGAGGGGATGCCACTAGGGGTGTGGGGGGCGGCAGGGGGTGCTGGGAAAGCGTCACCAGATTCAGAGGGACAAGTTGACCCTTCAGGTGTGAAAGGACCAATGGCTGGAGGAGTCGAGGGGTGGCCTGTGTTGCAGGATATCATGCAATGTGGCTGTACTCACTCCCTGTCATCAAGTCTGCCCTGACTCAGCCACTGTATCGCACTGAGGGTACAGCCACCCCTTGGGGCTTCACAGATGCTGAATTTTCATGGGAGCAGACAGTCTCATCTTCCTCCCGAGAAACAGCTGATGGGTTTGAACGCCTGGTCTTCCTGTCCAACTTGTAACTCACAACAACACTGGGTCTTTCTGGCTCAATTAGCCGCAGTTTTAGGGACACCAACAGAGGGAGTGGGCGAGACTGCAAATAAGATGCCTGTGGTCCCCAGGGGAGCAGACACGTGCTGCTAAGGTAAGGTGACCAGATTTCTGCATTGCTAAAGTGGGACACCATTGACGGGGGTGGGGGGGTGGCTCTTGATGAAAAATTTGGTCTATATGGAGCAACAAAAATTTTCATAGAACGTAAAAATAGTATTGTAATATTTTAAAAATTTCAACATAAGTACAATTTACATATATAATACATTTAAAAACTGTGTATAGTATTATTTTACTCTTTGGCATATTTCTCATTTGAGTGAATTTTTTTTTAGTAGATTGCTGTCATTGCTTAAAAGGTCATGAAATTTTTCACAAGAATTCGTTAAATTATATTTCACACATAAAATGGCTTTCAAAGTCTCAACACTTAATTGTGATTTTTCTGATCTCCACACTTTATTTACCGTAGGAAAAACGCGTTCAGTCGCAGCATTAGTTCCTGGTAAGGACGGCGCGTATTCCACAAATTTTAGTGCATTATTGTATGGAACATGGCTTGTTTCAAAAAGATGAAATATTTCTAGCCATTTGTTCTCTATTGTGATTTTTGCTGATGCCCAAGATTTAACCTTTTCCTTATCAATTTTTTAAAAAATAATGATACCTCATCAGAAAGATCATTTTCGGAAATATTATTATATGGGAAATTTTGAGTAATATGATCAAGTGATTTTTGCACATCATTCCAGTACTGTCTGCTAAATTCAAGAAAATTTATGTATTTATGAAATAAATAAATAAATTACTTACCTAAATTATCTGAATAGCTGATTTGTTGACATCACTTGTTTAACTAGCACTAGCACGCAGTATGATGTGTACCATCTGAGAGACAGCTACAAAATGTTTTCGTCGTAGCCAATGCCAAAAAATGCCATTGTTCATTAAGTCCAAACAATGGTGGTTGAATTCTAACAACTGATCAACAGTGCGAACTTTGATAAGCAGTTCTCGATAATCAGTTCTCAACAATTATTTGTTATTATTAAACTTTAACATTATAAAATTAACAAAAATAATATAAAACTCATACCCTGGCAAAATAGCCACATGGCAGCCGAAAACCGTATATTCCCTTCCTGTTCTCCCGCCGTTCCCTAGCTTGTCGTGCATTCTTTCCAAAAATCGGGACTTTTTAAAAACGCCTTGGGATGCAAGACAAATTGTTAAAAATTGGACTACTGTCCCGCCAAAAGCGGGACATCTGGTCCCCTTATGCTAAGGCCAATGAGTCGAATGGAGTCCGTGATGGGCAGGGTTATCTGCCCGGCTGGCTGGGCCCTGATTCCCAGTGGTTTGGCCCTTATGCAATGGCATCGTCACCCACCCTTTGGAGGTCTGCTGTCACTGTCCTTGATCCTGGGGGTTGTTGGTGATCGTCCACTGGGCGGTGTGCTGTCCATCCTTGCCGGCTGCCTGGAATTGTGCTCCCATTCAGAATGGGTCGTCGTTATGTTCATGAATCAGGATGGTCGTGGGACGCAGCTGGCGTTACCAGCTACCCAGAGCGAGTGACTCAAATCAACAGGGACCCCCCCTTGTTCAAGCCACACCCTCGCACTGCCTGGCATTTCCTTGAAACCATTGGTGACGTCATCCTATATCTTGCTCAGGCAAAGTTCCTTCTCTTGTTCTGCAGCCTGCACCCGCTTTGTCACCCCCTGACCTCCGGGTCTGGAGTCAACATTCCACCTTCTGACCTCATTGCCAGCTTCCTGTTCGATGACCCGCGAGGTGTGCTTCTTCAGCCCCTGCAGCCACGATGTGCAAGGAGAGCCTTCAGTCTGGCAGCTGACCGATGGTTGGAGGCATGCCAGCTTCCACCACTTTAAGGGCTCGTGAGCTTTGTGGGGCATCACAGTATGTGACAGCACCCAAAGATCAGAGAGAGGGTCTGAGGCCATGTGCTGTGGGAGAGGGTGGCACCAGCTCTATGCTGATCCTTGTCCAATCAATTAGCCACTCAAGTTGGCTGTGCAGAAAGCGTAGCTTAGACCCTTCAGAAGCACACTGAAGTAGCCACCTCGTTTTCAGACAGCCTCGGGAGGGTGGTCAAACATGGATGTGCAAGCAGGTGGCAAGGCCATCATGCCAGTTGGTAGGTTGGGCAGGAGTCCCAGAAGGGGGACTCTATGGTACCCCCACATAGGGCATTTCCATTTCCAAGGAGTTTATTCAAAGTTTAGGATTCTCCAGCTCAGTAGACCTCGGGGAAGGAGCCCCCTGTTGCTTGGCATTGTGTCGTCTGCACTGATTGAATGTGGCAGAGGCAGGGCGGTGCGGCTGGTGGGCATCTTATGCGTCTGACCACCCTCTGGAGCTACGTCTCCTGTCAGGTGGGCCTTTCACCACTTCTGTGCCTGGCACCTGCTCTAATGGCCTTTTAACAACTAGCCCAAACCCTTGGCTCTCTGAGGCTTATGGCGACTGAGATTCCCAAACTCGACCATTCCTGGGACAGAGGTTTATACAAACTCCTGCCCCTAGCCATGGTGGATTCTTGCAAGACCAGCAGCAAAGCAAAACAAAACAAACCCAGATTCTTCAATAAGCCTGGATGGGCGCACCCCAAGAAAGCAGAGCTCAGAACTCAAGAGGCTGTTCCCGAGAAGCTGCCGAGTGGGAGTGGGGAGTTGTCAGAGCCCTGTCCTCAAGTCCTCTGGAGCTGTTGCGGGTAACACAGCTTCAAATCCTGTTTTGTGCCCCAAGAGATGTCCGAGAGCAAGCCCGCATCTCCATCAGCATTAAAGGCAAGGGTTCCATGGCAGGAAGAGGACCGCTGGAACTGGGCTAGCACACGCAGCGGGACTCACTAAGACGCTCTGAACTTCTGAGGAGGAGACCAACCTTCAAACAGGAAAGCGGGGAGGGGTTTCGCCAGCACAGCTGTGGGACTCAGGGTGAAATCGCAGCAAGCTGAAATCGTGCACGGTGCGCTGCTTCAGCACCTAGCACAGGTTTCCTGGGGCAGACGCGGTACACAGTGCATGCGCTTTTCTTGAGGTCTGCTGTGAAAACAGTCTTCTGAATTATCTGTACGGGTTCTTGTCCCCGCTCTTGTTTGCTAAGAGTGGTTAACGTTCTCATGAAGCTGCAGTCTTCTTCCTCGGGAAGATGCCTCAGGGGGAGCCAACAGCAACGCCCACCCAAGTATCACTGCCTTCCTGGTGTTGCCACCTGGTACCGGCTGGATGCAGCAGAGTTGTTGTTGGGCGCCACACACTGGGTCCCAGCCCATCGCGACCCTGCACACAACACAAGGAAACACTGCCTGTGCGTGGGCCGTCCTCACAGTTGTTCCTACCCCGAGCCGAGCCCATGGTTGCGGCTGTGGTGTCAGCACATCTCATGAGGGCTCTTCCGCCTCTTCACTGCCCCTCCTCTTTACCACGCATGAGGGCCTTCTCCAGGGACTGGGCTTTCTTGACAGTATGTCCAAAGTCTGTAAGATGAAGCGTTGGCATCCTTGCCTTGAAGGAGCACTCGGGCAGAGTCGAATGCTCGGCTGGGATCCTGAAGCTGTACATCTTTGTGGAAGCAGAAAGCCTCATCTTTCTCACTCAGCATGGCTGGGGGGTTCACACTGCTGACCTTGTGGTTATCAGCCCAGAGTAACCCAGGGCGCCACCGGGAGGATTTGTTGTTGTGAGGTACACAAGTCGTGGTGACTCATGAGTGGCGACATCATGAAGCACTGCCCTGTGCCATCCTCACAATTGTTCTTATGTTGCGCCCCTTGTTAGAGCCATGGTGTCAAATCCATCTCGTCAAGGGCCTTCCACTTTACGGAGCAGATGTCCTTCTCTGGGGACTGTTCTGAGAGTGGACAAGTTGAATTCAACAATAGAACTTTGATTCAAACCCAGGGCAGTGATATCAGCCATCCCAAGCCTTAGAATACCCTAACACAGTCATAGCCGACCGGCTTCTGTGAAGGACTTGCAATCTGTTCTCTGACAGCAACTCCTTAATTCTTGAAAATATGGGCAAGACGTTTTTCCTAAAGAATCCTTTAAAGTCATTGTGATGGTTAGGTTTATTATGCCAACTAGGCTTCTATAGGAATATGTGGGCAGAGTTTAATCAGGTCACAAATTGATTGGAGGGAGACAAGATCATGGCTTTCCAAGGCCAGCCCCCTTCTCTCCTTCTTCCTGGTGATTGGACCAGCAGCACTGCTGCTTGAGCTAGTTCTTTGCCTCAACTGTGTGCTGCACTACCTGTGGGCCAAGCCAACATGTGGATTGTGTTCCCTTGCCCTGCCCTGCATCACTAGAGCTTGAGGTGCCTTTGAGACCTGCTTCGCCACACTACTGGTGGATCGTGTAGACGGGCATACATCACTAAAGTTTGAGACCCCATCCGGGCTGCTTCACTGCACTCCTGCGCTACTGACTGTTGCTGCCTGAAATTCCACGTGAGTTGAAGGACCTTTAGTATATTCATTGCTCCATGAAAATGAGTTGAACTGAGCCCTCTGTACTGCTGTGTGGACTTATTAGCTGTTATATTCCTTCTCGCTGTAGAAACCTATCCTTTATATATATGAGGGAGTACCCAAAAAATAAAACAAACAAAAAACAAAAAAAGCTCCGCTGGGTGGAGCTTTTGTAGTGTGCATTTTCCCTGCTAAGCAAGCATTGAGCTACTCACTCTGAGTTAGTGCAACTGTGGCGTTGCCAGGGAAGTTTCTCTGGTCACAGTGAATTTTTTGGTAAAAGCAGTTTTGCTCAAACCTCACTTTTTTGTGACGGTCGATTTAAGAGAACGGCGTGTGGCTGTGACATTGTGTTTCCTGCTTGGGAAACTGTTTTGGTGTTGAACACGGCTTACAAGGACAGCGCTGTGGGAAAAACTCAAGTGTACGAGTGTTTTCTCATTTCGATGTTGATTGATGACAAACCTTGTGTGGGGAGAAGGAAAGGGGTTCCCCACAAATTATCACAGGCCCGGTAGGCGCAATTGTACAGTGATAATAAGTAAAGATTATAGTAAAGTCATAGAGAGCATGAGAGGTAGAAGAGTCAAGTAATGGAGTCAGACACAATTTATAGTAGCATGCTCACCTCAGCCCCGATGGTGGTCCTCATGGGGGGAACCTGGCCACGAGAGCAGGAGCAGCCTCGGGGACTGAGAACCGGGGAGAGCTCTTCTGGCCCAAGAGCCAGAGAGGGCCCCAGGAAGCCAGGACCTGGGAGAGCTTCCTGGGCCGTGGGGACCGAGGAGAGCTTTTTCTTTATTCGAACCCAGAATTATCTCTTTAGGGGGACATGATTACAGGTAACCACACATCACAGGATGGGACAGTACAATAGGCATACACATTGTAGGAAGGGGATGTATGGTAGGCATAAGCGTAACAGGAAGGGGATGAGCTAGGGGTGTGCCCATAGGAATGGGAAGGTCTAGGGGTATACATGTGACAAGATGGGCGGACCCTAGATTCATGATGGCAGCCTAACCTTGGTCATCCTTGGGCGGGTCTGACCTCTCTGGTGTCTCCTACAAGGAAACAGACAGCTACTATCCTTATCAGAAGGGAATGGGCCCTACTTGTGGGATAAACAGTGGTGTCTGCTTGCTCTAGATGGCTGATAGCTCTTAGGGAGAATGACCCCCGATCTATTCTTAATGACCTCCAAGTGTATAGTCAGTCATTCACAAGCAGCTAAGTCTGGCATATATTTGGGGGAGACAACTTGGGAGAAATCCTTCTGTTTCCCACAACCTCGGTTCCAGAACCCATGAAAATGCCAACTTGTAGTGTATTTGGAGTTTGTTCCTCCAGGTCAGACTGTTAATCAAGCTTTCTATTTAGAGGTTCTGAAAAGATTGTGTCAACAGCATGCAAGAAAAAAAGGCCTTGGCACATGGCACCTGGGGGACTAGTTTTGCCACCACAACAATGCACCTGCTCACAAAGCCATCTCAGTGCACCAGTTTGGGACACAAAACAAAATGCCTCTCTGTGGGAAAAAGAAGGATTTCTCTCAAGCTGTCTCCCCCAAATATATGCCAAACTTAGCTGCTTGAGAATGACTATACACTTGGAGGTCATCGGAGTAGATCAGGGGTCATTCTCCCTAAGAGCTATCAGCCATCTAGAGCAAGCAGTCATCGTTGTTTATCCCACAACAAGTAGGGCTCACCCCCTTCTGATAAGGATAGTAGTTGTCTGTTTCCTTGTAGGAGACACCAGAGAGGTCAAACCCACCCAAGGATGACCAAGGTTAGGCTGCCATCATGAATCTAGGGTCCGCCCATCTTGTCACATGTATACCCCTAGATCTTCCCATTCCTATGGGCACACCCCTAACTCATCCCCTTCCTGTCACACTTATGCCTATCATATATCCCCTTCCTAAGATGTGTATGCCTATTGTACTGCCCCTTCCTGTGACATGTGGTTACCTGTAACCATGCCCCCCTAAGGAGATATAACCCTTGGTTAGCAATAAAGGTGGGGCTCCCCCCACGAGGACCACCATCGGGGCTGAGGCGAGCATGCTACCATGAATTGTGTCTGAATCCATTAATTCAATCTCTCCTCTATCTCTCATGCTCTCTATGACTTTACTGTAATCTTTACTTATTATCGCTGTACAATTGTGCCTACTGGATCTGTGATGATTTGTTTGGGACTCTCCTCTCCCCACACCTCTCTTGCCCCACACACCTTGCTCCGTGCAACTTCTTTTTATTTCTGCAAATGAAAAGGGACACAAAAGACCAGCTATTTGACTACATAGAAGAGGGGAAGGAAAAAAAATAGGGAGATGTCAGCCATGCACACAGATGAATTTGAAAAACTTTTCCAAGAATGGAATCGCAGATTTGACAAATGTATTAAGTGTAATGGGGAGTACTTTGAAAGTGACAAGCTTGTTTAATTTTTTAAAATTTAAATACATAGCTTTGACAATAATCCAGGTTTGGGGGTACCCCCTCATATATAATCACAAGTCTCCTGGTTTTGTTTCTCTAGAGAACCCTGCCCAACAGTCATCATTGCCCACAGATAAAATGATTCGTTTTCCTTTTATTCACCTTAAATTATTTGATCTCAAGCTACTCTTCAAACCTATCTGAAAACAATTGCTATGAGGCACTGCTTTAAGTTAATGATAACCTAAGTCCTGCCATTGAGTTGATAGCAATTCATTGCAACCCGATTGACAGAGCAGAACTGCCCCTGCGGGTTTCTGAGGCTGTAAATCTTTATGGGAGTAGAAAGCCTATCTTTCTCCTTTAAAGCAGCTGGTAGTTTGGAACTGCTGACCCTGAAGATAGCAGCCCAGTCTGTAGCCCACAACTGAGCTGCCACCAAGCCTCCTGTAAAACTGAGTAAAAAGCAGTACAGTAGCCTGAAAACGGAGTTTGGCCTGCGCCCTGAGCAAAGGGCTCCCTCCCTTGTGCCGAGCACCTGGACATGGAAGTGCCAGAGGCCCTGCTCCAGGAGCCAGGGAGGAGCAGCAGGGCTGGGCTGTGCTCAAGCTGTCCCCACCCCTGTAGGCCCAGCGCCACACTCGGCATGGGGCTCTCTTGGAAGGAGAAAGTCCGCACCGCCCTGCTGGTGGCTGCAGCCGCCATGGGCCTCACTGCCCTCATCCTTGTCCTGGTGGAGGCCACCAGCATCCTCCTGCCTGCAGAAACCAAGGTGAGCCAGCTGTCCTGGAGTGAGGGGCATGGGCTGAGGTGACACTCACCTGTGCCCTCCTGACACCCCCCCCCCCAACTCTAGTTCGGGATCGTGTTTGATGCTGGCTCCTCCCACACGTCCCTCTTCCTGTACAAGTGGCCAGCGGACAAGGAGAATGATACGGGTGTGGTCAGCCAGGCACTGGCCTGCCAGGTGAAAGGTCAGTGGGCAGTAGGGGTCCCCAGCTGCCAGGGGGACCCTGCAGGCGGTAGGGTGGTGGGAAGCCAGGTGAGGAGCAGAGCCCTCCACTGAAGATCAGAGGGGCCCAGGGCATGCCCAAGACTGAGTGACAGCCTGTGTGCGCCCCAAGGGCTCTAGGAGACCCCCTCTTGCCTGTCTGTCCTCCCTGCCGCTGCCTCCCAGCAGAGACCCTGCCAGCTGGCCCTCAGAGCCCTGTGAAGCCAGGAAAGGCCTGACCACTGGGCACTGCAGCTGCAGGGTCTTCTCTAGCTTGGGGAGTGGGGGAGCAGGTTCCAAGCCCAGGTGTTGGGGTGTGACTTCCTGAACTCTCAAAGCCCCTGGTGGCATAGGAGCGCCATGGTTGGGGGTCACTTGCCTTCCCTCTCTGCCTCTGCACCCATGTGGCTTCTCTTCCAGGTAGGTTACCTGATAGGCAAGGTAAGCACAAATAAGGCCATGCTTACAGTCTTATAAAGACAGGTGAATTTAGGGGATCCTGCAAGCCACCATGTTTACACCGGAGTCCCTCCATTTGTCACCTGCAGCTACCTGTCTCAGCAGGACCCTAGCACAGGTGGTGGCCCCAACCTGGCCCAGCCCTCTGTTCCAGGGCCCGGGATCTCCTCATATGTGGATGACCCCTCCCTGGCCGGTGAGAGCCTGCGGGGCTGCCTGGAGGAGGCGCTGGCGATCATCCCCGAGAGCCAGCGCCGGGAGACGCCCACCTTCCTGGGGGCCACGGCGGGCATGCGGCTGCTGCGGTGAGGACCCACGAGTGGCGTCCCCTGCGATGGAGTGCGGGCGGTGGGGCTCCAGCTAACCCGGACCCTCTCTCTGTTCAGCTGGAAGAACAGCTCACAGGCAGAAGGTGTCCTGGCCGGAGTCTCCCGGGTGCTCGGCCAGGCCCCGGTGGACTACCGGGGCGCCACCATCCTGGCAGGCCTGGACGAAGGCGTCTTTAGCTGGGTCACCATCAACTACGTGCTGGGGATGCTGCTGACGGTGCCGCGGGGACCAGGGGGGCCGATGCAGGGGAGGGGGCTGAGTGGGGACAGGGGAAAGCAAGGGCAATGGGCGGTCAGGCTCGGAGGGTAGGCGGGCGGGGGCTCCAAGCCAGGCCCGCAAGTCTGAGCGAGCCCTGTCTGTGGTCAGTATTCCTTCTCTGGCCAGTGGGTTCGGCCCCCCGAGGCGACGCTGGTGGGCGCCCTGGACATGGGCGGGGCGTCCACGCAGATCTCCTTCGTGCCTGGAGGCCCCATCACGGACCCAAACACGCAGGCCTCCCCGCACCTCTACGGCTATACCCACCGCGTCTACTCGCACAGCTACCTGTGTTTCGGCCGTGACCAGATGCTGAGCCGCCTGCTGGCCCGGCTGGTGCAGGTGGACGGGGCGGGGCCGGAGCGGGCCGCGGGGCGGGGCCGGCAGGGCGGGGCGCGCCCTGAGCTCAAGCCCTCTCCTCGCAGGATAGCCCGTCCGGCCCGGTCCGCCATCCCTGCTACCACAGCGGCTACCTCGCCACGCGGGCCCTGGCGCCCTTGTTCGAGTCTCCGTGCGTGGAGGGCACTCCGCCCCCGGGTGCGCCACAGAACCTCACGGTGGAGGGCGCGGGCAACCCCGGGACGTGCGCCCAGGTCATCAGCAGCCTCTTCAACTTCTCCAGCTGCCAGGGCCTCAAGGACTGTGCCTTTAACGGGGTCTACCAGCCCCCGGTGCAGGGCCGCTTCTATGTGAGCCTCCCCTCCCACTGCCCTGACCCGGGTGGGGTGGGGTCCCTGCAGGGCGACACCCCTGGAGCAGGGTGCCCACGGTGTGCCCCCACCCCCAGGCTTTCTCCAACTTCTACTACACCTTGCACTTCCTGAACCTTACCTCGGGGCAGCCGCTGACCGAGGTCAACAGCACCATCTGGGAGTTCTGCCTGCGGCCCTGGAAGCTGGTGAGGGGTGAGGGATAGGGGGCAGCTCCCACCCAGCTCCTCCGGGCTTTAGCTGTGGCCTAGAGGGGCGGCCAAAGAGTCTCAGGTTCCTTGGGCCTTCGTCCAGCCCCTCTGGGCAGTGTGGCCAGCAGCGTTAGAGGCTTCCCAGGCTGTGGGCTTCTCTGGGCTCCTGACTTCACCCCTGCTGCCACCCTCAACCTGGCCCAGAGGTGGGGCCATCCATTGCTGGACAGGCCCCCCCACTGATGCCTGGGCCGGGCCCCAGGTGGTGGCCAGCTACCCAGAGCACTCACCGTGGCTGCGTGACTACTGTGCTTCAAGCCTGTACATCCTCACCCTGCTGACTGAGGGCTACGGTTTCTCGGAGGGGACCTGGGCCAGCATCGAGTTCCGCAGACAGGTGAGCACTAGCCCCACCTGGCCTGGCTTCGGTGAGTCGGGGCTTGGGGAGGTGCCCTGCAGCCCTGACCGCATGATTGTCCCCAGGCTAGCGGGACCGACATCGGCTGGACGCTGGGCTACATGCTGAACCTGACCAACATGATCCCTGCAGAGGCGCCGGTCCTGAAGCAGGCCCAGAGCTACAGCGTCTGGGTGGCCAGCGCTGTCTTTGTGGCGTTGACCCTTGGTGCCGTTCTTGGGGTTGTGGCTGTGGGGCTCCTCAGGCCCCGGGAGTAGGACCTGGGGAAGCACCCAAGACTGCAGGTGGAGCCAGGGTCCCTGCCAAGCCCCTGCTTCCAACCCTCCCCTCGTGTCCTTGTTCAGTGCGCTCTGCCTTGGAAGTCAGCTGGCAGTGGGCAGGCTCTCAGCCCTGAGTCTGCTCCCAAACAACCTGGACACTCTCCGCCTGGCGCCCGACTCTGCAGTTCCCCAGGACCTAGGATGCTGCTGCCAGCCTGTACTGGGCATGGCTGAGCAGACTGGGTGCAGGGACCAGCCACAACCCTGGGAGCACCCACTACGTGTCCTTGCCCCATGAGCAACCACGCATGTCCCAGCCCCTTCCTGTGCATGTCCCAGGCACCACTGTGTGGCCACAGCAGTGACCAGGACTCGGAAAGGCTAGGACCTCGGGCGGGGACACGAACTGCACAGATCAATAAACCCAGCCTTGGTGTGTGAAGATGCGGCTGCCTTTGGGGCACAGGTGGGGATGGGGCGTGGAAAGCAAGATGCTGCCCTCCAAGGTTGCCTGTTGGAGTCACCTCCAGAACTTCAGTGTCAGGGGTCCAGCAGACAGCCAGGCCTGTCCTGCCCACCCTGTGACACAGAATCCCTGAGAGTGCACATGTGGCTTGTGTGTGTGCACAACGCAGGTCTCCCCGAGGAAGACAGTGTCTGGGACACCGCAGGCTGAGTGTCTGCGCAAAGGCTGGGGGTCAGAGCACACGGCCAGTAAGGGGTGGGGTGGTGAGGTCTGACCTGCAATCACCTTGTAGTTTTCCTTAGGGGGAAGGGGCAGAGGTGGAGGCTGGCAGACAGAAAGGGGCCCTGCAGCCACTGCACCACTCCCCTGACACCTTTGGCCCCTCTCTGTCCTCACGACCGTCCTAGCTGTGTGACTTCAGCATTAATGTGACTTGGGGACAGGGCTGAAGCCTGGCAGGTAGGCGTGACTGCTGGCCACCTGGAAGGACTGTCCTGCCCCTCCTGGGTGGGAACTACTCCCAAGGTGCCATCAGACCCCTCCGTCTCCAAGTCTGCCCACTGGCCACATGGGGAGGGGGCTGGTGGTCTTACTCATGCCCTCTGAGGTTCCCCAACACACCCTGGGGCTGGGCTGGACTAGGGCTGGGGCTGGGCATCATCGCAGCCCTCCCGCCACGCCTTGTCCATGGCAGAGGGTATTGCAAAGATGCCCACTTACCATCCAGGCTCTGTGCCCAGGCAGCTCTGACCCTTGGGTGGGCTCCTGGCCCCCAGACAGCTACTCTGTACTCCTGCAACCCCCAGCTATGTTTGGGCCAGCTTGAAGTCTGCCAAGGCTTCCTGGAACCTGCGGGCAGCTGGGAACAGTCCCCTGAGGTGGCAGAGACCCAGGCGGTGCCCACTCTGATTTGGATGCCTGCAGGCAGGTCGTGCTGGTCAGCTGGCTCGGCCTTAGCAAGGGCAAGCACCTGGGTCCTGGCAGTGCGTCACTAGCTAAGCTGGCTCAGGAAGGGCCACATCCTGGGAGCAGAAGGTCATGTCTCGGTTCCTAAGTGACTGCGTTCATCCCCTGGGTCTGACTCAACTTCCTGGGCACCCCACTTACCTGTCTGGGCCCATGAACCCCACCCTCAGACCCTCCTCTGAGCCCAGAGAAGACGTGGTGGCATCACGTCGCCAACTTAAAGGGGACCAGAGAGAATCCAGATGAGCAGCCTCAGTCCAAGGCTGGCTCTTCCCGAGAAAGAATCACCCTGCTCACCGATGTGCCCTGGGCACTGGCCCTCTCTGTGGGTTTAGTCATTCACTGGGCACTGGCCCTCTCTGCGGTTTGATTATGCCCTGCAGTGACCATGCGGTCAGCTCACAGACTGCAGTTTATTGGGGAAGCATCAGATTACAATGCTGGACCAGGATCTGCTTGGAGGGGACAGGACAACCAAGAACGTCTTCTCTTGGCCCTCGGTCTTCAGCTCCCAGTGTTCTGTGCCTGGTTTCTGTTCTCTGTGGGCACGTGTTACAAGCTCTTAAGTTTTGCCCACGGTGCCCACTCTGCCAGCAAAGCCCCCTACTCAGTCCTCACTGCAGGCAGAGCGAGCACCGAGCCTGTGCACCCATGTGCCCATGCTGCTGCTGGCTTTGGGTGTGCTATGCTCCTGGCTCTTCTTCGGGCTGGTAGTGAAGCCCACCACCCCCACCCCACCCCCGCCTCTCTGGGGCTCAGTGGGTTAGTGGAGCTGCCAGGCCCCCTTTGTGCCACAAGCACCGTTTGCACATCAGATGCCTTTGCGTCAAGTCCGCCTCAGCCACCAATGTCGTCCTTGTCACTGCTGGGTGTTGTGGCCATTTCCAACTCACAGCGACCCAGTGTCCACAGGAAGACATGCCACCTGCTCCTGCGCCCCCTCACCGCTGCCTGCGTGTCATGCTGGAGCCCATGGCCGCAGAGGCTGTCCATCTCTCCTGCGGAGGGCTCCCTCTCTTTGGCTGCCCTTCTCCAGGGACTGGTCTCTCCTGACAACACACCCACAGGCCTTGAGATGAAGTCTCACTGTCCTTGCCTCTGAAGAGTGGTCCGGCTGCCCTTCTTGTGAGACAGGTCTGTTTGTTCCTCTGGCCTCGTTCCACAGGGGTACCTTCCAGAGTCTGCCCCAGCACTTTCATTCAAACGTGCTGACTCTGCTCTCCTCTCCTTGGTTCACTGCTCCGCTTTCAGATGAAGACGAGGGGATTGAAAACACCATCGCCTGCGCCAGGCACACCGCTGTCGGGGGTTCCCAACACTGGAACGGGTCCTCAGGAGCGACTTTGTGATTGTGGGAAATATTAAAGCCAGAGAGACAG